AAAAGTGTTCTGTGTTTTACTCAGTTTCTTTCTATCTGTAAAGAACACAAGAGAATATTGGTTGATTGAATCATCTGAAGAAGAGCAAACTAATCCAGTTTTTTTCTCAAGGCTTACAAAATCCACACCTTCTACTAACTATACAATTCAGCTTATGGTATTCCATAACCAAATGCAGCTGCATCGTGAAACTTTACTTGGCTCAAAATCAGTATTAATGCACTTTCAAAAATCTTCCACAAGTCGAAGTTCAATAATTACCCTAATGCATGTCACAATGTTCCCTTTATTCAGCAAGTAAATATTGTCACCAGTCATGGACATTGGCTTACCTATGGCCTAAATGACTAGGCACTTTTTTTTATTGGGAGATGATTAAGATATCATCCATCTTAATTACAAAGTAATCCTATTGAAACAAAGCAAAGCAAACTAGGAAAGATAATGATTCACTGGAAATATATTTAAAGCACATCCATAGTAGTGCAACACTTTCAGGTATTTGTGCAGGCATTGCATAGGAACCATCTTTGATCAAATCATACTGCATTTTCCATTTTAAATATTACAGAAAGTATTTACTGAAAGGAAATGGATTGGACTCAGCTTGTTTCTATATCACTCTTCTTTATTCTTCTGACTGTATTCCTTTTGAAAACGAACAGTTCATGGAATAGCAACTCCCAAAACCTTCCACCAAGACCAAGAATTTTACCCTTTATTGGAAATCTCCACATTATGGATATGAAAAGACCACACAGAACAATGTTAGAGGTAATGTGCTGAAATTATGACTGAACACAACTAAAGCACCCAGACAAAATTGGGTCAAGAGATTTTGGAGATATTTATGTTATTGTGTAATAGTGATTGTAACTGTGCTATATTATGTGCAGAATTGCAAGACCTTGGCAAGCTTAGTTGTCCCTTTCATGGACATAATCCTATCAATGGACAGATAAATTGAGAGAGGTGGGTTTTTTAAGGGGTTGGTGGCATTAATATCTTATACAAGGGCTACTTGTATAAGAAGGGTATATAAACAAATATTCTATCCAAATTTCATGTCAATAGTAAGTCCTGTCCTGCCTGCTTCCATGAAATGAAATGGGTTTCTTAGAGTAACCCAGGTCATAATCTATAAGAATGCTTTCATTTATTACCCACATCTGGAGCCACCAATTACATCAACAGGCTAAAATACTGCAACACCAAAATAACTTTGAAGTTTCGGTTTCATTTGAAAGTGCCCATTTGAATATCTGCTAGAGCAATATGAACAAGTTCTGGGAGCTTGACTTGTAAATCCATTACAATACATACTGTATGTCTATCTAAAGTCAATGTTTATTGCACAATGTATTAAATATTTTAATTTTCTGAGTTTTGGAAGCAATAATGCAAAGTGGAAGGAGCTGAAGCCCTTGCTTAAACTAAAATGTATTTTATAACTGAATATGAAACCTTGATATAATTGTTATACAGTCTAGCACATCAGGAACAATGCATCTAATTCCGGCCACATTACTCCAATGATTCATTTGTTTCACCACTTCTATTAGTGACTTCCTGAATCCCCCCCGCCGCTGTCTACTGTGCTTCTTGCTACTTTCTCCAATTTCTCCCATTGTCTCCCCTTGTGCTTTCCACCATTATCCCCAATTTCCCTCTGCAAGCCCTACTGTGCTCCCTGCCCCAACTCTATAGGTGTATATTTCTGCATGAGTTTATTGGATTGATCCATTTTTGCCACTTCCCACTCACCTTTCAAGAAGACGTCCCTAGCAAGCAATTCTGCCATCTTTACCTTGTTCCAGCAGAACTTTGGTTTCTGATCCCTGAACAGCAAGTGTACCACACAAGATGCTTTCAGACAATTTTATTCTTATATCTGTGAATCATAACTTCCATCTGATGTCTGTGTGCATAAAGAGGTTTTCATGGTGATCAGAATAAGTTATCTGTCTCTTTTCCTCCTTGTGTTCAATTCTAGTTGTCAAAAGTATATGGCCCAGTCTTCAGGATTCAACTGGGATTCCAGAAAATGGTGGTATTGGCTGGATATAAAACAGTGAAGGAAGCTCTTGTGAATCATGCTGATGCATTTGCAGAGAGGCCAAAAATCCAGCTTTCTGATGAAATTAGTGAGGGCTTTGGTAAGCTTCTCTCATTCTATTTATCAGGCAGTATACCTTGTCAATATCTGTTCAGAGCTGTGGAAAATAAAACAAAATAAAGTAGTAAGAAGATGGCATAGGAGACTTGTGTTGGAGAAGATAGGTGGCAAGATAGAAACTAAGAGCCTGCCTGCCATAAGAGAGGACTGAAAGTGAGAGATAGAGAATTGAAGTCAATTCTGCAAAGTTTCAACCTATACATTTCTTGATTTCTTTCAACCAGCCTTGGATGATTTGATCTCCACACTGGATAGTAGGATAAACAGAATTTGTAATTAAAGGAATGTTTGTAATTTTCTGAGTTACAGAAAAGCTTCACATGAAACTTCATATGCATTTCCCACACTAACTTTCTGACTCTATATAATGCAAAAACAACTTCCATAAACATTCTCTTCATTATAATGGCAAAAATTTTCAGTAGTGCAAATATGTCTTTTAGTTTTGCACTTTCTCTTTAGGTATCCTTTTTTCTCATGGGGAGAATTGGAAAGTGATGCGCCGCTTCACCTTATCTGCATTACGGGACTATGGAATGGGCAAGAAGACTATAGAGGATAAAATAAGTGAAGAGTGCAGGGTCCTGATAAAGGCATTTGAATCTTATGAAGGTGAGTTGATGTTTCCTTGTGACGGTTCACCTGGAGCTAGACCTTCAGAGATTTACTGCAGAAAAGTTTACAGTCTACCTCTAGAGCTACCAATGAATTTCCTCAAACACTCAAATCCTATTTAATATTCCTGCGTCCCAAATCTTCATGTTCTCCAGCACTGGCTATTAGTTTCCTAGCGAAATGTACTGTAACTGAGATGGTAAAACTTTGCCATTGAAGAGTCCTTAAAGCTAGTGTTCTTTCATAGCTGTAAATTAATTTTAATGACTTTGTTTAATTTTAATATTTTCTACATAGGACAACCATTTGAGAATACAACAATTATGAATTCCGCTGTTGGCAATATCATAGTGTCCATTATACTTGGCAAGCGATATCAGTATGAAGATCCCACATTTCAAAGATTAATAAAGTTAGTTAATGAAAATGTCCAGCTTGCAGGAAGCCCTCCTGTCTTGGTAAATTATTTTTTTCATTTTAAAAGGCGTTCATTGTGTATTCACTGTGTTATCTTTAATGTAATGTAGGATTTGTAATAAGTATTCCATATGCTTCAAGGCTCACTATGACAGAAAAAACCCTGATGTCATATATACTATATGCAAAACAAACATTTCCCACTATGCAATATGAATAGTTTTAATAAAAATGTCCACATTGACAATTATTCAGGTTTCTTCATGACTCTTTTTATCCTTTTTGTATTTTCCAGCTCTATAATATGTTCCCCATGTTTGGCTTTCTCTTTGGTGTACGCACCATACTTCTGAATAACAAAAAGGAATTGTTTGGTTTCATAAAGACCACTTTCATAGAACACCTCAAAGCTCTGGATGAAAATGACCAGAGGAGCTTTATTGATTCATTTCTTGTCCGACAGGCAGAGGTAAGGAACTGTTTTATGTCAGAAATTCCAAGTGAGGGATCCTTGGTTCTCTCTAAGCTTGCTTGGTTTTTTTCCCCAGATGTTTCATCACACAAACTAAGTAATATCATTAGTGCTAGTTAACTAGATAACCAGTACTGATGATGTTACCTAATTAGGGTAATGAAACTTCTGCACGGAAAACAACCAAGCTCAGAGAGCACCAAGAACCCCTCATTTCAACCTTGAGCTACATATGATCTCCTTTACTGGTAATTCCAAATGAGCTTTTCATATCATATTGATACCCTAAAAGCAGTAGCTCATTAACAACCCCTAAATCCTTTTTAGTATAAATTGCTTCACTGACAATTGAAACTTCTAAATTGAAAACCAAGGGAGTTTCCTGGAAAAATATATATGCCCCAAACAGCACATTTTGAGGGTTATATTACAATGCTACCTGTAATATAAACCATCTGTTTAAAAATAAATATTAAATTTTCTCAATTTAAATGAAGCCCATCTAAAGAAATCTATTGTTGCTCCTGTTGCTGCTACTGCTATTACTACTACTAATACCATCATCACCAATAATACTAATAATATATTTAAATTTGACATAATCATCTGAGTTGTGATGTCTGCTACTATATCTTGATTGAGATACAATAGAAATGAGATCTATTTTAAAAATAGATACCAGCAAGGCTTTTTTTTGTCATATAATGCCCAGAATGGAGTTCCAGCACCTTTTTTGATGGAACCTTGTAGGGTAGGCAAGGTGGGTTGTATGAGTTGTGTGTGTGAGTTCCGGCACCTTTTTTTTTTTTTTTTTTTTTTTTTACAAAAAAAGCACTGGATACCGGTACCTCCCAAATCATGTCTTTTTTCAATATATCTTTTGAAAAGCAACAAGTAGTTGTAAAGGTCTTATTTAATGAAAGCCCTGTTTAGGCATAGATACAATGCCAGGCAATTAAGAAATTATTTTGGATCATGTAGGAACTCAGTTGGGGGGGGGGACTTTTGAAAACATTTCTGAATACTTCATTTGAATTGCTTTATCATGTTTGAAGAAGCTTCAGTATGATGGAGAGATTGCATTTGTTAGAGAATTTTAATTTCTCTGTTGGTGAAAAATAAATCAGAAGCTCTCACAGTTGACTGCATTTAGCTGATTCAAATAAACTCTTTATATTCATATCAAATTATTTACAATACCATACATTCTTCTTCATAGCAACATAGCATAAATGAATACTTCTTACAGCAGAGACAGACCTGAGACCTGAAACCTGAGACTGAAACTGAAACCCAGCTTCTAACTCCAAACCTTTTGCACAGACTCAGTAGCACTTTACTCACATTGGCTGACTGAGTTACCACATGACTCTTCCTGCTCATGAATATTCCAACACTCCCCCCTTCATGAGAGGAAGAGACATCAGATCCATAGACTTAATACATTTTCCATAGTGAATACCACCCAATGGTTTAGTCATCATGTCTGCCAAATTATCCTCAGAAGAACAATGATGTAAACTAATCAATTTTCCTTTTACAGCTTCCCTGACATTACAATATTTAATGTCTACATGTTTACTTCTGTTCTTCACCCTATCACCAGTTGCCATTTTTATACAGGTAGCATTGTCTTCAAATACCTTTACAGATTCTTTTACATTAATATTTAAATCTTGCAACAACTGTACATCATTATTTGGCAATACCTTTTTCTTATATACTCACTTACAACCCACAGCTTTGGTTCCCTGTGGCAAAGTCACTGATTTAAATACTTCATGGTCTCCCATGGTTTTCATCTCTTTATCCATGGCCTCCTTCCATCTTTCTTGTTCAGCTTTTGGTAATGCCAACACCTCTTTATAACTTCTTGGCTCATACCACACATTGCAAACCTTTACCTTGCTCGCAGAATACCTGTCAGGTGAAATTCCTTTGTTACATTGCTCTGACCTATGTGGTATTAACTGCTCCTGTGTCTCAAGTCTTTCTGGCTTCATGTCTTGTTCAGCCTCTCCTCCCTGAACATTGACATCTTCTATAATCATTTTCCCATCATTAGATGAGTTATTGTCACTAAACAGATCACCGTCATTAAGTGAGACATACCCAGAATTTGCATTAATTCTGTCCCAATTTTGTTTTGCAAAATTAGCAGACCTTGAAATTACAATTCTTTTACTTCCATCGCTAAAGCGATATCCTTTTGACCCTGGCTCATAGCCCACAAACCTGAGCTTTCTTGCCTTTTGCTGTCCCTTTCTTCTGATTGCTTTTGGAATATGTACCCATGCAGTACTTCCAAAAATTCTCAAATGTGTCACTGATGGCTTTCTCCCATATGGAATGGCATATGGAGTATTATTAATGGAGGAACTCCACAGCCTGTTAACTATATAATTGGCAGTCAATACGGCTTCTCCCCAATATGACCTGCTCATACCAGAATCCTCTAATAATGAATCTTTCATTGTTTGCAAAACACCATTCCTTCTTTCAGCTACACCGTTCTCTACTGCTGAGTAAGGATTTGTACGTCTGTGTCTTATCCCCAACTGCTCCAACCATTGTTGGAATTTAGTTGACATAAATTCAGTACCTCTGTCAGTTTGCAACTGACATACTTGTTGTCTGTACCTTCTCTCTACAAAACTTACCCACTGTTTAACTTGTTGTAGCACCTCTGTCTTATCTCTAAGCAAATAACAAAATGAATACCTGCTATAATCATCAACAATTACCAGTGCATACTTTGCTCCTCCCAAACTGGCTTGCATAGGTCCCACCAGATCTGCATGGACCAGTTCTAGAGCTCTTTTTGTTTGTCTTGTGCTATATTTACTAACTGGGAATGCCTTTGATTTCGATGCTTTGCATACTGCACAGTCCAAATATGTTTTGCATCCCTTCAAATTTAGCCCTTCTGCAAACTCTTGCATTTGCTGCAAAACTTTAAAGCTTGCATGGCCAAGTCTTCTATGTAGAAGATGAATGCATGAATCATGCTCTGCAACATTCTTAAATATATGGGAACATTGAACCTTTTGTCCCTGCAATACATATAGATTATCTTCCTTTATGCCTTCTGCACAAATATTCCCATTCCTTTTGATGAGACACTTCCCATTTACAAAAATGATCTCAAAACCTTGTTTGTCTAAATTAGACACACTTAACAAATTATGTTCCATTTCAGATACACAAAGCACATTGGTAAACTTTGATTCCAAATATGGAATTTTTACATCGCCTCTTCCAATGACTTTTGCTTTCTGGCCATTTGCCAAAGCTACAGCTTCTTGTGCTACTGGAACAAACCTGCAAAATAATTCAGAGTCATTAACAATTGTTTGACTTGCCCCACTATCTATAAGCCACTTGTCTCTGTTGTTGCTATAGCAAACATTTGCAACACCAAAATGTTCCTTTTGCAAATTAGTCTTCTTTGCATGCACAAATGTCCTTCCTTGCAAATTATTCCTCTGGAAACAGTTTCTTTTCAGATGTGTCCTCGCTCCACATATGTAGCAATTCTTTTCTTGCAGCTTGCAAAATCTCTCTTTTGTTGCAATTTGGTCCCATCTGCTCTTTGTTCCTTCTCCTCCGGAGACTTGCAGTCTGGACCACCTCCTCAGGAATTTCTCCTCCTCGTGTCTACTCCTGAATTTCTCCTCCTCGTGGCTACTCCTGAATTTCTCCTCCTCGTGGCTACTCCTGAAATTGTGCTTTTCTTCTTCATTAAGCATTAAAGCCTCAAAATTTAAGTCTTTCTCTTCTTTGCACTCAAATATTGCAGAAACTGTGTCCCAGGTTTTATCTAAACTGTTCAACACCAATAAAACCTTCTGTGACTCAGGGAATTTAATCCCACATTGCTCTAAGTCCAAAAATAAACTTTGCATTTTATTTAAATGCTGTTCCACAGATTCACCTGGTTGCAAACAGGCTCTGTAAAGTTTTCTTGACAATTGCACTATATTGCATGCAGAAACATTCACGTGCACAGCTCTCAACTTCAGCCAAATTTCCTTTGCAGTCTTTAGATTTGCAACATTTAGAAACTGTTCATCATCTAAATTCAAGATGAGATAAGCCATGGCTTGATCATGGTTTTTCTGATCAATAGCTGCAAACACTTGTGGGGGATTTTCTACAATATACCATAGCTCTTTTGCTTTCAGCAAACATTCCATTTTTGCTGCCCAGATAATGTAACTCTTTTGCCCTAAACGAGGCACAGAGCTTTTCTTAAATTCCATTGCAGCCATTCTGCTAATTCTGCCTTGTTCTTATACTTTCTAAACACAGGCAATTTCTTCCAGCTTTAAATTACAATGCAGTCCTTAGTAAGCTCTGGGCCCATAACCTGTTAGAGAATTTTAATTCCTCTGTTGGTGAAAAATAAATCAGAAGCTCTCACAGTTGACTGCATTTAGCTGATTCAAATAAACTCTTTATATTCATATCAAATTATTTACAATACCATACATTCTTCTTCATAGCAACATAGCATAAATGAATACTTCTTACAGCAGAGACAGACCTGAGACCTGAAACCTGAGACTGAAACTGAAACCCAGCTTCTAACTCCAAACCTTTTGCACAGACTCAGTAGCACTTTACTCACATTGGCTGACTGAGTTACCACATGACTCTTCCTGCTCATGAATATTCCAACAGTATTCCCCAGTGCTTACCAGAGATATTTTCCCCCTCTGGAAATACTTCATTTATTTGAGGCTTCAAAGCAGAGGAAAAGGAAGGAGATACCTTCTACTGTTCAGTGTTCTCCAGCTCTCTGCTGTTTAGTTGATAAAAGCGTACTGAATATGCTTAGATAGACTATTTATATATTGCAGGAAAAGAAAAACAAAGCAGAAAGCTATTTTCATAATGAAAACCTAACTGTTGTTGTGAATAACCTATTTGCTGCTGGCATGGACACAACTTCAACCACATTGCGCTGGGCCATGCTACTGATGATGAAATATCCTGACATTCAGAGTAAGCACTTTTCATTTGGTTGGGTTTCACTTTTCAAATATTTTGTTAAATTAAAATATAATGCATTGAAGCATGACCTACAAAAGGAAAATTTTCATGGCTGACCCTTGTTGGCAAACAGGGAGTGATGTGTTGAAAGCTGTGGAATTTCTTTGCACAGTTCCTGTAGGACAGGGGTGTCAAACTCAATTTCATTGAGGGCCGCATCAGCATTGTGCTTGCCCTTAGGGGGCTGGGTGGGTGAGGCCAGGGTGGGCGTGGCCTACTGGGTAGGCATGGCTGTGGTGGGTGTGGCCTACTGGGTGGGCATGGCCAGCTCTACATCGCTTGCATCAAGGGTGCCTGTGGGTGCCTGGGCAGGAGTGGGGCAGATCTGAGGGTCTCTGGCAGAGGGGGGTGGGACCAGGGCAAGCGCCAAGGCATGGTCCACTGGAGGAGCCTCACTGTCCTTCTCAGGCCATACAGGGGGGCTGGACGTTGGCGTGGGCTGCCCGGAGCCCTGGGCAGCAAAGGTCAAATGCCCAGCCCGGCCCTCGAACTCCCACAGCACCAAACTCAGGCCCACTTCCCCAAGGGGGCACCCAGATGTGCTTATCTCCTCTTCAAGGCTGCTGCTGCTGTGCTTGCTCTCCTTAGCCAGGTTGCTCATGATGGGTATGAGGGCAAAGTCAGAGGGAGGCCACTTCCTCTCCATATGAGGAGACCTGGCTTTGTATCCAAAGCATCCTTAGCAATAGGATGGGAGGCCCCCAGGATAGGCCAGGAGGAGGGGTCAAGGGAATGGTAAAAGGGCAGGACTAAGGCAGGACTTCCCTCAAACCCTCCCTCTCCTCCTCTCGTTCATTCGTTCGTTCATTCGTTCCTTCCTTCCTTCCTTCCTTCCTTCCTTCCTTCCTTCCTTCCTTTCTTCCTTCCTTCCTTCGAACAGAGTGGTGGGAAAATATTTGAGATGAGGGAGGGAGAAAAACAGGCAAGAAACACAGCTGGGGAGATGTCACCTTTGGTGAGGAATGAAGAAATGCACCATCACCTGGAAGTAGCCAGAAAATGGCCCTCGCCTACTTCACATATCTAGTTTGGTGGGCTCTGGAGGAGGGGACACCATGAGCAGCATGAGAGTCAACGTTACCTGTGCAATGCCGCCCAGCCCGGTTTAGGCAGGCATTGAGGAGCTGTCCTCACAGCGCTGAGAGGCTGAGGCAGGCAGTGTAAATCTGAAGAGAAGTACAATGCTTGCCTGGTTTCGGTAGGCAGTGGGGCGCTCTCCTCACAGCGCCGAGAGGCTGAGCCAGGCAGTGTGAAGCTCATCAGCTTTGTACCTTGCTGCCTGCTGAAACCAGGCAGGCTGGGGGCTAGGCAGCATTGCACTTCTTGTTGGATTTGTGCCACCCGGCTCAGCTCTTGACGCTGTGAGGAGAGCGCCCCACTGCCTGCCGAAATTGGGCAGGCTGGGGTCTTGGCAGCATTGCACAGATAACATCAACTCTCACGCTGCTCACAGCATCTCCTCCCCCAGAGCCCACCAAGCCAGATGTGTGAGGTAGGTGAGGGCCATTTGCTGGCCACTTCCAGCCAATGGTGCATTTCTTCATTCTTCACAAAGGGTGACACCTCCCCAGTGTGCGCCCAGAGGGCGGGGTCGACGTGGCAGAAGCCGGTCCCTCGCTGTTTCCAGACAGCCTTGTGAGGTAAGACTGAATGCGTTTCAGCATAGATGGCCACCAGGAAGTTGTACATTGGCTCCTGGCTGGCCTGGGCCAGGGCCAACGCAGCAGGGGCCATTCCCTCAGTGTTTCCAGGATGCCTTCACGGGCCACATGAAACCACTTTGCGGGCTGGATCTGGCCCGCGGGCCTTGTGTTTGACATGTCTGCTGTAGGACATCCTTTGTTACCTGCAACATGCATTTAGCTAAGCCAGTGAGGCCAAACCTATGACACACATGTCAAAGGTGACATGCCAAGATGTTTTGGATGACACACCTGCATTTATCAACACTTGACAACTATTCTCGAAAGCATGCCTCATTCTTACACAGATTTTAGAGGTTATGGAGACCTGTGAGAATAAGGTTATGCTCTTGCACAGCCTCAAGGGCCTCTGAAAACCACATGAGAACAGGGCATGCTTTTGTGTGATTTTGGGAGTCTGCAGAGGATGTGGAAAAGAATAAAAACTCATGGGATGCAAGCTGCTCTGGGTAGGCCATAGGAGCCTGTCAACAGAAAGAAAAAACAACCCACTACCATCTGAAGGTAAATGCCACACAGCAAATCCTCAGGAGTTCAGGGGCCATGAGGGCAATTGCACCATTTCCGATGCACCTTAGGGAATAGCATGATGTGGCCTGTTTGAGTGTCAGCATCATTGAATTACAATAAGATACAGTAGCAAGAATAATTCTAACAATATCTGACTGGGAATTTAAAGTTTGAGAATATACAGCAATGGCAAAATTAACAACATATTTCACAACAGAAGTTTAACCAAATTCAAGCAAAAAAATGTTTCCCTTATATAGGATATATTATGCAGTGTGGGTATTTTTAAAAAAATCTTGGATGATGGAATCCCATTTTTAGAACTTATCCTATCTTTTGGCATTACACAAATTTCATTTCTTTCTATGACTGGAAAATGTAAACACAAAGGTAAATCAGTCATTAAATATCAAGAAAGAAAACATATTTAAAAAGGGAAATGCTAACATATAAAAGACCAATATCAGGTTTGCAATGCAAAATACATACAATAGGTGTGCAATAGATTTTACATTTAAGTTCTTAGTTATCTCTTATTTTTTTAAAAAGTGCAGTGGTGAAAGATATTGGAACTGTATTGCTTGAATCCAGAGTCCACATTAGTGATCAGCTCCAATTTCCTTCCTATATGAGTCTGTGCTCCAAAAATTGTTCTCTGAATTGATAAATGTATACAGTTGGAAATCCCATGCATGTTCAGGTCTTTGTTCTGTAAATCTGAGTGAAAATCTGAATTCATGATACTTATATTTCACAGTTAAATATATCCAGGGTTTAGTGCAAAATTAAAACATTAACAAACATCTTATAATTGTTTTGTTTTCCTAGATAAGGTATATGAAGAAATTTCAAGAATCATTGGGTCTGCTCAGCCAAGGATTGAACATCGAACAAAGATGCCCTACACCGATGCAGTTATCCATGAAGTTCAAAGGTTTGCTGATATTGTTCCAGCAAATGTTGCACGAGCAACTACAGTGGATATAACTTTCAAAGGCTTTTTCATTCCGAAGGTGATTAGTCTCATATAAGTGCTTTATTCGCTCAGTGTTGCTTTGTGTACACCCTTTTAATTATTATGTCCAACCAGATCATCCTCTTGATAGGTTTGATGTCTATGCCATAAAAACTATCAGTGTTCAACATTTCTATATGACTGAAAATTAAATCACAATCTTTTTTAGTATAATTTTTAAATTTAAACAAGGTAAAAGCTGATACAAACTAATAGACAATAATAAAGTAAAAAGAAGGAAATCACATGAAAAGCAAAAAGTGCAAGAAAAGGGGGGGAAAGCTAAATATTCTAATATTCTTCATAGCAGTTACAAGTACAAATTTATTTTGACCTCTCTCTGTAAAGTTGCATCATATTACTCTTCTTTCTATAATCTATTCTGCCTAATCATTAAAATCATAATCAAAAGTTTAATTTTTATTTTTATGCAAAAAGTCCTAAGAGACTTCAAATCCAGAACAAATGTAGATAATGTCTCTTCTTTAATCAAAGAGGTTAATTTATCCATTTTAGCAAAATCTATCAACTTCACAAACATTCCTCCATTGTGGTTACTGTCTAATCTTTACATCTCTGTGCTAATCTCATCAGCTGTGATCATACAGTATGTTGAAATAATCTTCCATGACTTTTTTTGTCTATCCATTAAGGAAAAGTTCTGAATCCAATTTAATTTTAACCTTTAAGATCCTTGTATCAAAGTATGTATTTGGATCCGGTTTTTTAGCTTTTTTAAATGTCCACCAAATATGACAAAATATTTAACAAAAATTTAAAATTTCCATTTTAGCAATTACATGTTCATCGGTACACAAATTTGTATTTCAAATTTGCCCCATACCATAAGCCTTTATCCATTTTAAATCTTTTTGATAACTGTAAGTAGGCCAACTATATCCTTCTGCTACTAATTGTTCTCTTGATTCAATTTTATATTCCCCTTGATAATTTTCCAATCCCCCCCCCCAGTTGCCCCAAACCAACCAACAAAACCAAGTTTCAATATGCTTCCAGAAGGTGGGAGCAGTTCTTACACCTGGTGGTAGAGTATTCCACAGGGTTGTGGCCACAGCAGAAAAGGGTTTTCTCCTTGAACCCACCTGCTGGGAATCCTTAGTAGAGAGGGTCTGTAGCACTGGTGTGAGTGGGGTGGGATAGTCCCACTGGGGTGAGACAGCTCTTCAGATACCCTGGACATATGATATATAGGGCTTTAAAGGTAAAAACTAACTGCTTGAATTGGACGCAGAAGCAAACTGGTAACCAGTGTAGATCCTATAACAGTAGTGTTGTACATGCCACTCTGCTCCCCCCCCCCCGAACTGTAAAGGCTGTTGCATTCTGCACCAGCTGTAGCTTCTGAATACTCTTCAAGGGTACTCCTATTTAGAGCACATAGAGTAATCTAACTGGGAGATGACTAAGCATGAGTGATCATGCACAGGAATTCACAATCCAGATAAGGGGGCAACCTGTGCAGAACACAAAGTTGCACAAAGCAGGAGTCACAAGTCCAGAAGAACTTCTTGGTTGAGTACCAGATCTTTTGGGGTAATGCAACTCCCATCCAGAACTAAGGGTGATAAAGAACTGGATCTTGAGGTCCTCTGCATTCATAGCCACTCAGTCTTGCCAGAGTTCAGCTGAAGCCTATTGTCTCCCATTCAGACCCCTGCAAACTCCAGGCACTAAGAAAGGAAAGCCATGGCTAGAGGATGGAGATATTCTCATTTTTTTAATTTATTTCAATCCTTGCAAATCTTTTATCCATTTAAAAAAAACACGATCAAATTATTCGAACAGTTTCTACAACAAATCTGTTGAAATGCCTTTATCAGCAATTTGTTCTAGATTCCTTCTCCCAGTTTGACAGTTTTTCTTGTGGTTGCTATGGTGAGAAAGTAGAAGCCTATCAGTCACTACAATGAAAATACAGTAGGCTTCTTTTTTCCCCTATTTTGCTTTTCTCTGTCTTAAATCTTTTAGTCTTTCATAAATCCTGGAGCACCAGGGAAGTACCTGAGGATTGGAAAAGGGCTGATGTGGTCCCCATCTTCAAGAAAGGGAAAAAATGGACCCAGGAAACTACAGCCCAATCAGTTTAACATCAATACCTGGGAAGATCCTAGAAAAGATAATCAAAAAACAGATCTGCGAACAACTAGAAGAAAACAAAGTCATAACTAGTAGCCAGCACAGGTTTGTCAAAAACAGATCACGCCATACCAATCTTATCTCATTCTTCAATAAAATGACTAAACTAGTAGACTAGTGAAACACGGTGGATGTAGTATACTTAGACTTCAGTAAGACATTTGACAAAGTGGACCAAAACCTTCTACTTGGTAAGCTAGAAAAAGGTGGGATAGACAACATCACCACCAGATGGATCTGTAGCTGGCTAACAAACCATACTCAATGAGTAGTCCTCAATGACACTACATCCACATGGAGAGAAGTAAGCAGTTGGGTACCACAAGGTTCCATCTTAGGCCCAGTACTCTTCAATATCTTCATAAATGACTTAGATGAGGGAATTGAAGGGGAACTCATCAAATTTTCAGATGACACCAAGCTGACAGGAGTACCCAACACCTCAGAAGACAAAATCAGGATCCAAAAAGATCTTGACAAACTTGAACAATAGGCTCTGTCTAACAAAATGAGTTTCAATGTGGAGAAAAGCAAAGTCTTACATTTAGGCAGGAAAAATCAAAGGTACAAATACAGATTGGACGAGACCTGGCTTAAAAACAGTAACTGTGAGAGGGACCTTGGAGTCCAAGTGGACGATCACTTGACTATGAGCCAGCAGTGTGCAGCAGCAACCAAAAAAGCCAATACAATCCTGAGTTATATAAACAGAGGCATAGAATCAAGATCATGCAAAGTATTAGTATCGCTTTATAAAACACTAGTAAGACCACACCTGGAATACTGCAGCCAATTTTGGTCACCATATCACAAAAAAGATGTTGAGAGTCTGGAAAAAATTCAGAGAAGAGCAACTAAGATGATTAAAGGCCTGGAGACTAAAACATACGAAGAATGGCTGCAGGACTTAGATTTGGCTAGTCTAAAGAAAGAAGAAATAGGGGAGACATGATAGCAGTGTTCCAGTATCTGAGGGCTGCCACAAGGCAGAGGGGGCCAGGTAGTTCACCAGAGGGCAGGACAAGAAACAGTGGTTGGAAACTGATCAAAGAGAAAAGCAACCTGGAATTAAGGAGAAACTTCCTGACAGTGAGGACAATCAATCAGTAGAACAACTTACCCCCATAAATCATGGGCGGTTCATCACTGGAGATTTTTAAGAAGAGACTAGACATTCACCTGTCTGAGATGGTATAGATTCTCCTGCTTGAGCAGAGGGCTGTACTAGAAGATCTCCAAAATCCCTTCCAGCTTCTATTCTATTCTATTCTATTCTATTCTATTCTATTCTATTCTATTCTATTCTATTCTATTCTAAGCTAGCTTTCCATAGTCACAGTCAAGCAGTCTAGCTCTTATCTTCTTGTTTTGTAAAATCCACCAATAAGACACTTTCACCAAAGGAAAAAAAAATCTTCTATTTTTAAAAAATCACTATCCTCCTTTTCCATTTGAAACTTTCTAATATTACAATCCTGCCAAGCTTTTTGCCTTTAAATTAAAATCCATTAAAATAGAGGTTTTTTTCTCTTCTTAATTTCAAAAAGAAGGCACTCATTGAGATTTTTTAATCCTCACAGCTCTTCACAATATCTTTCTTATGTTGTAAAACGATTAAACTGTAAAATGATTAAGAAGATGAAGCTTTTCCCTGTCAAAGGTCCATAGAAAGGCTGCAAAGTAATTTAGGGCACTATTGTTTGATCCCCACGCTACTCAACTCATAATTGTCCCCAATAAATTAAATTCTGCAGGCTTTTTTTTTTTTTTTTTAGGGAGAAGCAGACCTTCTTGAGCACAAATGGATAATCCCCAAATTTGTCCACCCTCCAAAGAAATTTTCTATCAGCCAAAACAGTCTCCTAACTGGCAGGTCCACTGTTGGGCTGTCTCTGCAGAGCTATTTGTAGAGACATCTAACCGATCACAACATTTCACCTGGAAGGTGTTCCATTCCCATCACATTGGAAAACGCATGTATTTGGGATGGCTTTTTAAGTTTTGATATTAATGAGTAAACCAAAGAGGTGCTAATTGTGTAATAATTCATTATTACCTGCAGGGTACACACATAGTTCCATTGCTGACTTCTGTGCTGCATGATGAATCCGAGTGGGAGAAGCCTCATGACTTCTATCCTGAGCATTTTCTTGACTCTGAAGGAAAATTTGTGAAAAGGGATGCATTCATGCCATTTTCCGCAGGTAACATCTTCTACCATACTTCTATATAGTGAGTGATAGTTTCAATAACAGATTCTTCCTTATAACATTATTACATCAACATTAATCAAATAATCCACTCAACTTTCTAAAAAGTGTCAAAACTATAACTATTCATAATGGGATGTTTGAACTATTTTCAGGGATTCAGTGTAGAGGAAATCTACTTGAGGTTCATTTTTTAAAACTACATGATTCCTATACAATTAATCTCCATTGTAAGATTTTATTTTAGTTTTCATGCATGTGATTTGTCCTCTCTGAGCTGCTATTTCATGGCAGGAACAGCAAAACGTTATTGAAGAACCACTGAACTCAGTTTTCCCATCGTTGTTCATTGTTACAGGTCGGAGAATCTGCTTGGGTGAGACCCTTGCCAAAATGGAGCTCTTCCTGTTCTTTACGAGCCTCCTACAAAGATTCACTTTCCAACCACCCTGTGGAATATCAAAAGAAGACCTGGATTTGACACCAGCAATTGGGTTTACAGCTCCCCCCATGCCTTATAAGTGTTGTGCGCTGCCTCGTTCATAAGATGAATCACAATTCAGTTTCTAGATTCCTTCATTTCCATATGTGCATTTCTGATGTTTTTCAATCTTCTCTACTAATTATGTTTGGTGTAGTCTCTTGGTGGAAATAGGCTATGATTCCTCATACATTTTAAAACTTACCTGCTGCTTTCGAAGCATAATAAAAGTGGAACTGAGATAAAAGCTAGCTTAAAAATGGAGTTCAATTCTTGTGACATTCTCTGTATAATAAGCAATAAATAATAATAATAATAATAATAATAATAATAATAATAATATTAATAATAATAAAATAACAGGAATCAGTAGAAACATCAGAAGCTTTGTGCAAATATCAGTGGCACAACGGAAGACCCAGTTGCTGGTCAAAAGTGATAGACTGGGAGAGGTTAACATCAAGAGAGGAATATTTCAAGGAGATTCACTATCACCGCTACTGTTTGTTATTGCACTGATTCTTCTGTCAACAATACTGAATAATTCAGGCCATGGCTATCAAACATGAAAAACATCTGCTAGGATATTTGTCTGGGTTTATATGTATTTCATATTCTCAAAATAATACTTCTGATGTAGTGATTTTTAAAATCTATGCTAATCTTAATGTCAATGTAAAATAGAAAATGACACCATCCAAAAAGTCAGAGCACCAAATACTTACTTTTTCTGTTATTTTTTTTATTCTGTCCAGAGGATCATCTAAAATTATCACAAATCATCACCAAGGGCCTGTAGGTTATCTATTTCTTTTTAAATCCTCACTCCAGCAATTACCTCATCCTCTCTTGTATCTTACATTATGTTCAATACTTTCAAAGCAAATATGAATAGAAATGGTGACAAGGGACATTCTTATCTTATCCATTTCCAGATCTCACAAGATTTTGTTAATTCTTCATTTACAATTATCTGTGGTTTTTGTGAGGTACAAATTGATTTTACCCATTTAATATACTTCTCACCAACTTTTAAATAAGAAAGTCCCTTTCAAATTGTTAAAGACCTTTTCTGCATCTAGAAAGATCAATGCAGCTTGCTTTTTATTGTGCTATTCCAATTTCTAATGTTATCTATTAGATAATATTATTATCTAATACAGTGGCCTCCAACCTTTTGGGCACCATGGACTGGTTCTGTGGAGAGAGGTTTTTCCACAGACCAGAGGGGGCGTGGTTTCGCATGCTGTCTGCCTCCCGTATATGGGGCTTCGCTTGTTTGCGCAGTCCAGTTTTTGGCATGCTGCAGCCCGGTACCGGTCCACAGGCTGGGGGTTGGGGACCCCTGATCTAATACATAATATTATTTCTAATATTATCTCTCAACTGTCTTTTGGGGGAAAATCCATACTGATCTTCATGAATAAAGTTCTATAAAACCTCTTGGCTAAAATCTTTATAAATATTGATCAACCTTTGGCAGGAAAACTTCTCCTTTATATAATTTAAGGTAATAATGATGAAAAAGTGGTAGGATTTGACACTACCCATAATGAAGGAATCATTGATGAAAATGATGGAACTTGCAGAGATGACTAAATTAACTTCTGTGATCAAAGAAAAATAATATGTACATTTATGACTGATTGGAAACACCTTATAGACTTTATGTATGAAATGGGAAAAAAGTTCACTTATGACTTGTGATTTTGACAATTAGAAAATTGCAAAACAAAAAAAAGTTAGCTGTCAACGCTGCTAACATCGGATGTTTTTGCATTGACAACAAAGGGAAATGTAGCTATCTTTTACCTTTTGCTTTTAGAGTTAGATGATACTGGGAGGAGAGTTCAGGTAGACATAACAACACTAGATCTAGTGTGAGAAACGAGGTTATTGTAACCAGAGCTGATAAGGAAATTGGCTGGCTGGAGAACTAGAGAGGAGACCCACGCTTCAAGCTAATTGGGGAATGTGATTTATGATTGTTAAATGAAGGAGGGAATTGTGCTTTGATACTATGTGCTCAGGGAAGGGGAATTCAGTTTTTGGCTTCAATTATGCAGCACTGAAGTTATGCTACTCAAAATAAAGACTCTTTAAGGTAAACAATGCCTCGAAGTTCTTTTGAAGAGTTTCATCTGTCAGAACTATGACATTAAGCCAAAAACTCCAACTTTTTCCTAACTATCTTGGGGTCCCTCCTAGAAAGGAGAGATAAGCTGACAAAGATTCGGGGAAGATCTCAGCATGGAGAAAGAGAGAACACCTGAAACCAGCACCCTGGCAGCGGCTGCTACCTCAGAGGGGGGAGCGACAGCCAGCGTGCCGGTGGATAAGGAACTTTTTCAGGCCTCCCAGCTGGGGGCAAAGCCCAAGCTGTGAGGACAGCTAATCTGGTCATCAGAATGGACCCTACCCAGCAAAGACTCCAGACACCTCGAGATGGCCTTGCCACCCTCAAGTGCTTCAAAGGAAGACGGGGCTGCTACGAAGGGATTCCCGCAGCTCATGTTCCCCAGACTGGTGGAGAACCACAAAACCGTCTACCACTGAGGACTTGGGTGAATGGAAGTACCTATCCGCAGCATGTAGCCAGTCAGTGGAGAAGTTGGTGGAAAGATTTGAGGAGTTAGAAATGAAGAGTGGAGAACAACCTTCCCGCTCCCCATATGCGAGTGTTCATGATGATCGGAGAGGCAGCCACCAACTCCTACCAAGGGAGACCCCCAGCCCCTCCTGTGCAGTTCGGGCAGCCTCCCAGTTATCAAAGCCACCCAGCCCGGGCCTGCACAACAATGGGAAATGTCACAGCCTCCCCAGCTGGGAAGCCAGCAGTCACTGGCGGTGCAGCAGCCGAATTGGGGATGGCCACAGCCCCCGAAGGTGTAGCAGCAGATGGGGACCTTGCAACAACAGTGGATGATGCAGCTGCCAAGGGGTCAGCAACTGCTGGGAGTGCTGCAGTAGCAATGGGATTGGCAGTCACCCCTGAATGTGCAACAACCGCTGGGGGTCCCACTACAGATGGAGATCCAGAAACAGCTACCTCTGGGGCTGCAGGGTGATCTACAGCAACTGGGAGTGCCACAAACCCCCACAGGCCAACATCAGTGGGGATGGCAGCAACCCCCATCCATGCAGCAACCGCTGAGAGGCCTGCAGCAGCTGGGGCATGCCATTACAGCAGCTGCTGAGATCGGTGGGAGTCGTACAACAATTGGGAGTGCCATAGCCACCAGCGATGCAACAACAGCAGGGGGAGTGGCAACAGCCCCCAGGCACGCAACCACTGTTGGGAGGCTTGCAACAACTAGGAATGTGGCAGCCACCATGGGGGGCCCAGCAACAGTTGGGGATGCAACACTCACAGTGGGGAGGCCAGCAATCACTGATGGCACCACCTCTTAGAGCCACCTTCGATGGGGACCTGGAGAAGCTTATCTTTTTCCTCAATCAGGTGCATTCTCACTTCAACCACTGTACCTATTCCTATCCGAACTGAGCCACTATGGTCGACATGATTGCATCCAGCTTAGAAGGTGGCAGAACAATTTATATAACGAGCAAGCACCCGAGTTAGAGGACCCCCATCTCTTCCTCCTAGGACTGACAGCAAGGTTTGAGGACCCATCTATTGCCTTCAGAATGGAGGAGCAAATCCACAAAATAAAACAAGCCAGCAGGCCTGTACTGCAATATGTATAAGAGTTTTGCAAGATATCCGGCTGAATAGAGAGGTGGCCCAAGCAATCCTTGGTCCATCACTTCAGGGAGGGACTAGACTACCACCTCTCCCAGGCTTGTATTTATTGAGCAGTCCCTGATAAGCTGCAAGAGTGGTACCAGACAGCAGTAAGACTAGATGTTCAGCTTGCCTGCTATCAGAAGCCACCCCCCCAGGAAGCCAAGTCAAGGCCAACTCCACCCAAGTGACAGCCACCCCCCGAAAGCCTCAAACCACTGTGGCTGCAGAGAATCCCAGACCACCTGCTGGTAAATCAAGTGTTTCAGATGCGAACAACAGGGGCACCAAGCAGTGAATTGCCCAATCCCTTACCCCCAGCAGCAAAATAGACCTGGACCACCAGCGAGGAAGAAACCAACCCAGCAGCCAATGAAAGAGAAATCCAACTGGATCATACAGGAACCTATTGCTCAAGTCATGTCCCCCACACAGGAGAGTGCCGAGACCCAAGCCAGACCTGCCGTCGCTCTACCCTCCTTTGACAGCAACGATGAAGGAGAGAATGACCAGATGGTGAGTCGACATGTCCCACCTTTTTCACTACCTGCCAAACTCATAATCCCTAAGACAGGGGCACAGGTATATTTAAAAGTACTAGTCGACTGCAGATGCTCCCGCTGTGTTATCAGCTTGTCACTTGCCCTGAAAATGGGCATACGAGCAAAGCTACTTTCCAAACATATGAGGTTTGAGCAAGCCTATGGCTCCCTAATGGATGGAACTCTAATCACACAATTGACCGAATCCTTACACTTAGAAATAGGTGAGCATTGGAAGTTCATTCATTTCATCGTGGCTCCAAAAATGGTTGAGGCTGTGATCCTAGGGCTAGCCTGGTTAGACAAATGGAAGCCGTTTATCGGTGGGAGAAGGGAATGAGGACTGTAAGGCTACCTATAGGACCCAAGCCCCCCACTAATTCCCCCGCGGTCCTAAAGGAGGCGGTGGTGAGGCCCCTCCTCAAGAAGCCCTCCCTGGATCCAGATGTATTGGCAAATTATCGCCCAGTCTCCAACCTACGCTTTGTGGTGAAGGTTGTTGAGAGTGTGGTTGCACAGCAGTTTCCCCGGCACCTGGAGGAAACGGTCTATCTAGACCCTCTCCAGTCGGGCTTCAGGCCGGGATACAGCACGGAAACGGCAT